GAAGTTGAAATTACCCAATTATATACAGTAATTTTAGCTTCATCCATCAGCGCCATAATCAACAATGTTTTAAAACAAAGTTAAAAAAACATAAAAATCATTAAAAAGCGATTTTTTACCATCTCTACATATTACGGGAAATTCTCCAAGATTTCCAAGATTTCCAAAGTTTCAAGATCCACTCCAATCGGTTCTTTAATTTTTACTAATTGGAATTTTCAAATTCTCTGATTCCCCATATGGTTATATGGAAGTCGTGTAATATTTTGGAAATCTGGGTAATTTCGTAAATTTCCTGTGATATAGTTATTTGCGTCTGTTCTATAGATGGGTGATGAAATTATTTAGTAATGCCAAAATTGACAAAATTATAAGTGACGAATTTATTTTCATAATGACGAAATTGATGAAATAATTATTTCGTCATATTTCGTAATTTTGTCACTTATGCTAGTCTGTTCACACCTTTTTGGAAAACAGCTGTAATATCTGGCTGATTTAGCTGGTATTATATTCTTCAGAAAATTATACCATAGCTATGTGAAAGTTTGGGTAATTTATCAGATGAAAAAGAAAAGATTCTGGGAAATAAGAAGATTTTAGATGTTTTAAGAATTATTATAATAGTAAGGTGTTATTAAAATAGGTATTTGTTATTTTACTGGTGAATGACTTATCAGAAAATTTATTATTGATTAATTTATATTTGGTAAAATGAGATATTGATATTATTTTTATGTCTTGTTAGTAAATAGGTTGTTAGCATTATAGCTAAGTAAAATGGTATTTCAGTAAAAATAATTTTAGAAAGTTAACCTGTAATCATAATATAATTTTATAAATAAAAATACATATTATTTAAAAATTTTATATAATAATATTAATTTAATATATTAAATTTTAGTTTCACTATGTCAAATATTGAAGAATTAGGTGAACATGTGAAGAATATGGTCAAGCATCAATGCCATTTTCTTTAAATTTTTCTGATGATAATAATATATTTGTTGAAGATCTATGTGAACTAAATGATAATAAAATGTCTTTGGAAGAGGAGTCTTTATATGATATAGGCATTGAAAGTGAATTTGTAGTATTTTTTGATGATATTGGAGGACCGGAAATGGCATCACCTTCATTTATTTATAATAATAATGAAACT